TATATATATATATATATATATATATATATATATATATATATATATATATATATATATATATATCCTTCCTGCAAATCAGCATATTTTGCAAAACAAATATTTAAAAAAAATACATAATGATATTGTATCAATCATCACCACTGACTTGGTTTTACTAGGTAAAATATTTTTTAAATACAATATTTATACAAATAAAAATCTATCTCAATCAACATGTTCAAAATAAACCAAAGCAAACTTGTGATAACTTACCTGATTAATGTTTGAGAGGATTCAACCAGTTCTCGCCACTGAAGCAGATTAGATGCATGTGTTATAACACTTGTGATATACTGATTGCCATTTTGTGCACTTTAAGTCCTGGAGATCTATGTTGTAGGCATAGACTGTTAAACCTGGATAGTAATATTATAGAAGTAAATTATATCTAGTATAATATAAATATTTTAAAATATAAATGACACTAAATTATATTTATCATTATTGGAAATAAAAATGGTACAATTAAGTTATAAAAAAAACAAATTATAAAATTTAAAGCAGCTTATTAATAATTGTCATACCTTTTCCTACTTTTATGTCAAATGTAAGAGGTAATAGAGAAAGAACATCTTGTGTCATTTAGTATGCTGTAGTCTTATTACTGGTAAAAATCAGATCTTCCCTTTTTTCTGGATGAACCTGTAAAAGAAAAAGAGAAATTACAACATGGATAAACACAATGAATATCATATCTAATCCTCAACTAGTTATCACCCCAATCCTAACCTCATTTTTTAAAACCAATTTCTAAATATGTTTTCAGAACAAATTTATGTTAAGTCTACCTATTTTAATGTTCAGAATACTAATATTTATCAAAACTACCTCCAGTTGAAATTCAAGATACATTTATAAAAAGTTATTATGACTTTAACTTTGTGTAGTTGTTATTTAGGCTATTTGTTTAATTTATATTATTTAAATTAATATTTCATGCCTTGTTTTAAAAAGATCTACAAGTCTACTTTTGATTTTATGGTATAATCTGATAAAAATTAGGCTGCTACATCTGAAAACTAAGGTCAATGCAAAGACTTCCAAATTAACGATAAGTAGGCTTGTATAGATATTGTATATAATTACTAGCCCAATAGTATTACTCTACGACCAATGTATAGGACTTAATGTATCAGACCTAATTCCTATAATTAGGCCTACTAATCATTAAATAATTAATAGATCTAACAGTAGGATAATTACAATTATGGGCCTTAGCTGACATAGAGAGCTGAATACTTAACTAAACATTTTTAAAAATTATAGTAAGCTAAGTGAGTTGAATTATTTTATTTAGATAGGCCTAGGCTATAATATACTCTATAGCAGTCTATAGCGATAGTCGCAGAGTAGCGTATATCATAAAAATTTCAAATTAAATCTATAAGCAACATTAAGCCTCTGCCTTGTTGCCTAATTAAAAACTAAAGCCTATTAAGCCTTTTCCTAATAAGCCTTTGGCCTAATTTAAATAACAGCCTATATAATAATATATAAATAGGCTAAACTACTTGTAAGACCTAATAGACTAATGACTAAGAGAGTGCTAGGCCCCTTTCCGATATTATATAATAAATGCTTGATCGATATCATAATATCTAACACTGATTACATTAATTTACATAAGGCTATACCATCTTAACTATGGCTAATACTTTTTCTACTAATAAAATAGGCTATCTCTAGTTTAAACTTAGGCCTAATAGTAATTAGTAATTATAATTAAGTAGGCCATTTTATGACATTTATAAAATTTTTAGTAGATGGCCGAGCCTTAAATTTAAATACTAAAATAGATTTAGCATACTATGCCTATTGTTGGTCTAATTAATAATTTATTTTTCATTTAGAATTTTAGATCTCCAAAAGATAGGCCTAGGTCCTAAATAAATTATTTTTATTTTATTGAGCCCGCCTTAATGTATAAGATGTGATGTTTTTTTAATAAAAATAACCCTACACAATACTAGTGATTTAACTAATATCTAGTACTACTTTAGGCCTATTTAATTATTTATTAGTAGGCTGAATAAAATCTAAAGCTATACTTTATTACTATATTTGCCTATTAATCTATAATTAATTTATGTTTTCTTTCAATACATTCATAGTAGATCCTGTGGTACCTCAACATTCTAGTGCCTCGACATACCAGATTTTTTAAATACGAGCAGTTGAGCGAGTAATATTTCGCTTTGAGTTACGCGCAAAATTTGAGATACCGTATTTCACAGTTCATGTAAAAGAAATACCCCCAAAAAGATGCAAATGATTATTTATCGCAGCTATTTAATTATAATAATAAGCGTCTTATTCATATTTGCAGCATTATGAAAGGGAGAAAGAAATAAACTTCCTAAACAAGTTTTATTTTAAGCTACCAGCACATGAAAGTGACTTAAATTAAGCATGGCAAAAAAGAAGAGAAAAGCTGTCACAAAAATTAAGCTAACGTAATAATTTTATTTAGTATTTAGGCCTTACGTTTAAGTCTTAAGTGCTACAATGCTCAGTGAATTTTAGCCATTAATCATTTAATGGCATTAAGTTTAGGAATGATGTGTACTTGTGTAGCTTTAGTATATTTTTAGACCTAAGCCTAAGCTTGTAGATATAGATCTACAAACAATTTGAAATAGAAGAGATTTAAAATTGAGTAGATCCTAAAGGACAGCTATGCCACAGAAATAATTATTAATTATCTTTCTATCTAGTCAATCTAGGAATCTAGACTAGTGCTACTAGAACTAGATCTACTACTGAAAAATTACTAGATTTTCTAGATCTAGATTCTATCATTTACTTTCGACGCACTAGGCATACTTTTAACTTTTTCTCTCTAGTCAATAATGTAGATTTCTAGATCTAAATATAAATCCTGATCTTGTAGATTTGATTTACGTAGGTTTTACATCAGTGTAAATCGTTGATCAAGTAGATCTAGTCTAGATCTGGACTAGGTCTCGTCAAAACAAAATGGCTGGAATATTAGCTTCAAAACACCTACAGTTTATGCTTTCCTAATTGTGGAGAGCATGTTTAATTATTGTTTTATTTTCAACGACAGTGTTGACTGAGAAACCACCAAAGGGTTTTATTCTCAGCGACACAGTCGGAGAGAGGCTCAACGATTCTGTCGTTGAGATGATCCGCATGGGGTGAGTTGATGTTTCTTTAACGTAGTAAGCAAGCTGTTGAATTTAGCTAAGTGTTTGCTATGTTATGTATCGGTTTTAAAAATGAAAGTGTATCATCTCACACGCACAGAAGCATGTTACTTTGCATGTTCAAAATGATGCGATACTATTAAGTATGTTTTTTTTGAATATGGTTTCTTATTAAAGAATGATCCTTTTTATTTTTAAATAAAATTATGAAATTATTTTCACAACCTTAATATTTAAGTCAGTGGCGTAGCGAGGACGGGTGTCACCCGGTGCGGCACTTAATGGTGTCACCCCCAGAGGCGTAGCGACCCTTCCCGGGGACAAACTTTCAATTTTCAATTTGCACCCCCACCTCAAACTTTCGATTTGCACCTCTTAAAAGACTATTTAACACTCGAATTAATCACTTAATTAAGTTGAATTATCATTTTTCTGTATATATTTTGCTATTTTTCGCCTTGGTGTCACCCCCCCTAAATGGTGTCACCCGGTGCGATCCGCACCCCCCCCCCTCCTTCGCTACGCCCCTGATTTAAGTTAATATAATCCACAATAGGGGGGGTTGCCACTTACAACTTATTTTTTTAGGTAAAAAAAACGTTTTTTTTTTGTTTTATTTTAATCTACTCAATTCACACTGCTTTTTTATTGCAATTCCAGATTTTCTCCAAACAAAAATGGAAAACTTTCCTGGCATTATTCAGATGTTTTAGAAACATAAAACAAAAAAAATGCTAAATTTTTAATTACAGTATTGATAGCATGTACATTTATTTCAGTTTAATTTGTATAGACCTTTCTGGTGTATTTATTTCTGCCGACTTGGCCTTTTGGCCTCTCATTTAAGCTGAAAAACATTCAAAAGTTTTCCTGGGCCCAAACAGCTAATCAGAAGATGTAGTCAATGACCCCTTTTGATCTGAGCCCTCCCCCCTCCCCCTTAAAAACGTCTATGGAAATTATATACCTTTACCAGTATAAATTTATTAAAAATAAATTACGTCTTGCAATTTTTCAAAAACAATTTCATAATTTAAAAAAAAATATCACTTTTAACAACTGTCTGCCATGTGACAGAATTAAGACAGATTTGATAACATTCAAAGCATATAATTTAACTGTTAAGCTCTGCAGAAATTCTTCCCAGCGCTCTACTGCAGGGTTGTTAAGCTCAATTTTTTTTCTCTACTGTCATCCCTCCAGGGAGTGTAAACCATTTAGAAACAACTTGTAATGACTCCCACAATTATTTTATAAAACTCTGCCATAATTACCTATAATCCATAATACAATTTTTTTTAATTGCATGCTGGTGTATGTGGATTATATCACCCTTTTTTTAAGTGTTTAAAGATGGATATCAAGTAAAACTTTTGCACCAGTTTTAGTTTTAGAATAATTTATATTTTTTTTCAATAGCTTCAAATTAAATTAGTCTTTAATTCCTTCATGCCTTCAATTTTGAATGCAAAGTTCTGCAAATTTGACAGTTTCAAAAAGTATTCTGATGCTACTATACCTAAGTTAATTTCAGCTTAAGACATAATGTTGTCTTTATCATGTAGCTTTACTTAAACAAATAGCAAGTTTTGTTTTTAATTGATTAATGATTATGATGAATGCCAAAGTATAACAGATAATCAATTATTTAAAAGACTCTAGTTCATTTTTTTACATCGAGTATTATTTTTATAATCCTTAAAAAAGATCTATTAAATATAAAAGGTGAGACAGAAACAAATTGTAGAGAAAACACACAAGTTGTAATTGTTAAATGTTCTATTTCAGATAAATTATTAAAGATTAAAAGTTGTTTAATCTTTACATAAAATCTTTATAACATTTCATAGCTAAAATTTTAAAATAATTATTAGTAACATTGTTTTACAGCAGCAGTTATAAATAATGTGGACTAGATTGGTGGTATGAGTGACGGTGTAGCTCCAGAGCTACAAGACGACATGTGGCCATGGAGATATATGCTCCATCATTCCCATGTTGAGATTAGAATGATCCTGCTGATGATAAGGTACCTGGAATAAAGATTAAAACAAGAAATAGTTTTTAATTCCCAGAACATAATTCATTTTTAGTTCATAGAAAGATATTTCTCAGGATAAAAATAAATTCATTAATTGTTTTTTAAATAAGTGTTTATACTTTTTTTAAATTTGAAATAAAATGTCGAATATAAAAAAAAACAAATAAATATAATTACATGGTATGGTCTATCTTTCGCTATGAATGAGCTCATTTGATTTTCATTGGTCAAATTTGGTCCATGTATTTGAAATGGTTGAATCTGGTTGGCCAAAGTAGACGCAACATTGTGAAGTCCCAGATCTTCCATCTGGCCTTGAGATGAGAGCTGTAAAAGTTTAGACCAGACAAACCAGATAAGAAATGTCCTCCGATATTGACAAAGTTAGCTGATAACAAACTCATTTTAGTGGAATTCTTACATGTTTACAAAAATTATTTGGATCTTACTACTTATCAAAGGTCTAATGTATATGACTTCCTTTGGCATATATTAATATAGAGAAAACAAGAAGCTGTGACCCACTTAGGTCTTTTTTTTGCTTTATTTATATTTAGTCTCCTGAGTTATGTGATTGACCTTGGGAGAATTGTTAGTTCACCGGTTCACATCGGTCAACTGAACTCCGTCACGTCATGTGAATGGATTGTTTACTCCCTAACAGATCCTCGACTAATGATCTTGCGATTGGGAGGATCCTTAACAGATCCTCAACCAATAGTCGTAAGACTTTTGAGTGATTTCCCCTAATACTGAGCAGTATTTAATCTGGTACATTTCATGTCTAAAAGGGGAGGCAGCCAGATTGACCTTTGGATAGGAGAGAGATGTTGCCGTATGTTTGGGCGCCATTTTCAGTAGTGTAGTTTTGTGGCATGTTTTATCACCTTTGTATAAGGTATTGTGTGACAAGTTGTATTATTATTGATATTTTGTTCTGGTGTTTAATTGCACCCTTTGTCAAATCGGTGATAGGTTGACCTTTATTTGGATTTCTATTGTTGTAGAGGCAATATGTCTCTTATTGATATTTGTGGTATTTATAATGCCATTCGGTTGTGTAAAGTAATGTTCTTTAATGGTGTTTAAGATACTAAGCCACAGCTGTGATATATTGTGATTTTCTTTAACTGTAAGTTGGAGTTTTGAGTTTATTTATTGTACACTTAAAGTCTGTACATTTTGTACAAACCCAGTGTCATAGTCTTGTACACTTATTAAAAGGGTATTGACAGTTTTAAGTCGTGTTGAGTCTCTTCGATTTGTCGTGTTTTACCCCTAGACATCAATAACGAGCTCTCGGTAGGTTGTTGGGATTTCATTAGTGTGACTTCTGTCAGTGCCATCCCAAACGAACCCGGGGTGTCCGCTCCCTCCGTGGCTGTCAGAGAGTGGTCATTACAAAGCCTTGAAAGGACAATATCTAAAGAACATTAACACTTTCCTGGTTGAATGTAATCACCTTTTACAAGCATACTGAAAGTATGGTCTGTCAATATACTGAATATCAACCCATTGGGGGTGTAATCAAATTTCAAAAATCAATTAGGCCTAGTCGTATACTACTAAATTTAAATTAATGTAAATAGAGTAGATCTAAATATTGACATAAACAAATGTAAAAAAAGGCAACTTTCAAGGTATATACAGGAATAAATAAAACAGACTGACAAAGAAAATGTTTTAAAGGCATTCATTTCTCTAAACCTTTGCTTAAAATCAATAAAGAAGAAACTTACATATGAATTAGGTGCCGATGGTTCATCATCATCTTCCCCCCTCTCCCACGTCTCGACCAGTCGGGACAAGACTTCCCTTCTCTTGACAAACTTCCCCATTGGGACATCACTGCCAAGCTGGGCCAGTCTTTGAGCATACAACAACAAGGATTCAAACTTCTGTGCTTGTGACATCTCAGACTGTTGTCCATTGATATGATTTTGTGAATACGATGACTGAGCTTTACGGTAATGAAAACTTGATGGGTCAGGCTGATTAGCTACACTTTGTGATTTGAAGTTTTTGTCGGTTTTCAGACTGTTTGATTGTAACGGCGGCCTGCAGTTTTGTAGAATTAATTTTAATGTTGATAGTTGCCATCGCTGAGCAATATCTTCGAAAAAAAGGTCCAGCCCGACTTTGCGTCTAAAAGCAAAAATATGATGACAAGGAAGCCAACTAGTGCTGAAATACTGACATGAGCAGGATGATGCAGAAACCATTATATCTCCAGTGGGAGTTATAATACTGATAGGGTTATTAACATCACAAATATCTGTGTCCACTTTTAAATCCAAACTACAATGTAGTTGTTTCATTATTTTGCCAAATGCATAGGGTGTTAAGAAGTTTGAGAACCGCTGCTCAACAGAGCCAGGATCATAACTACTCCTTAAACTATTATTAATGTCATGAATTATGCGAGAGTCAGTTTCTTCTCTGACTGTTTGAAGTAATTTTTGAAGATCTTGACAAAAATGGGGCAAGGGCGAGAATTTTTTAATCATTTCTTTAACTCTGAAAGAAACAGTATCTAAACAGCTTGTCGTCTCATTGTTAAAATGAACAGAAGTTTTCAATCCGCTGACCCACTCCTCACGAATTGGATGCCATTTTTTATTAAAATAAATCAGTACTTTTGATAACCCAGTGTGTTGGAGCTCATCATAGGCTTCATCGTATGCAGACAAATTCTGCGCATGGGCCATTTTGTCAAAGATGGACAGAACTCCCACCCTTTCAACTGGTGAAATGTTTACTTTTTCTAAGGCTAAATCTTTCTTCATCTCGTCCAGCACTTGAGATCTACACATATGCAAACTGGCATCTGGAAAACAAGATCTGAAAACACACTTGTGTTTAAGTTCATAGCTAGCTAACACAGTTCTAGTCCTTAACCAGCCAGGGTTGTGGTTCCTGAATATGTCCATCATGGAAGTGAATGTCTCCACATCATCCGTAGCTGTGAGAAACAGCGCTACTATTTCACTTTCTCCGTTTCCGTTGATTATCACCAGGAAAACGAGAGATGTTTTTAACTTGTTGACATTGTTCACACAGCCCACTATGAGCAATTCAGGAAAAATATCAAATCTGGTCCTCATCACAGAGTCTTGCCAGAACAAACATTTCATGTTGCCTTTGTCGTCTGACATGTACTCCACAGATATATCTGAGATAGATACAATTATTATTCAAACAATATAGTTTTTTATTTTTAATTATATAATAATCTGGAAATGTAATAGTAAAAAATAATTGTTTTTTTTTTAATTTATTTCTTTTTTTTTAAAGATGATTTATTTTAAAAATAGGAGTCGTACTCTCAAATGCTCAATCGCCATAAGTTTGATGCTTTGATCTAAGGTAGAATTATGATATTTGATTTAGAGCAAACCACACTAGTGAAATGGTCAGTTGCCAGTATTCAGCTATACATGGTTACATGTAATCTCCGTGAACTATGTCTATAAAAACGACAATTAGATTATTTATAGTTCACATTAGCTTATATGAAATGTTAAAGGATGTACCTAATATTTATAATAACAATATTGAAACAGTAATAAAGGAAATTATCAAAAACTTACCTTCACTCTCTTTAAGACTTTCAATAAAATCTTGAAATGATTTGGGGCGTGTGCGAAACTTTTTTGTGCTTTCAAAGTCACCACAATTTAATTTTCTCATTTTAACAGCTTTAGGAGATTTCTTAATGAAACTTCTTTGAATTATATTTTCAACTGAGGAACTGAATACTATTTCTTTCTTAATTTTCTGAAAATCTTGTAACTCTGAACAAAGGTCCCTTGTGAGGCGTTTTTGCTTTGGCATCCGTTCAAAGGTTTCCTGTTGAAAATTTTAACACAAGATATCAGTATTTTTAGTGCTATTGTAAGAATAGTATGGTAACTGGGGTATTAATACTTAAACAAATAACTTGATTATTTTAATAACCTCAACACTCTACTGGCTATTGAATGATGTGGAGGCTGGGTTATTAAAACCTTATCAAACAATGCAATCACTTTTAACATAAGTTCTTAACTTTCTTATGTGTATTCTTAGATATGACAAGTTGTCAATGTGAATATAATTGTAACGTCAGCCAAACTTGGAGATTTATATTCATGGAGCATACATGTAGTAGTTGCCCATACAGTAAAATATCTTGTCTCCTAAAAAGTTAAAATGGTCTTTTAGGTCCATACTCCAGCAGGACAGAGAACTCAGGAGAGCTGTAGTTGGTTGCTCATGTTTCAGCAAGGGAGATAATAAAGACAATATTAATATACTAGTCACTTTTTGTTCACCAAGACCTAAACCAGGTATCATTATAAAGCTGAGTAGGCTGTCCAAAGGAACACTTTGAAATAACAGAGTAACCAATATTTGAAAATCTAACTCTCACCAATGCATGATCAAGATCTCTAGCTACCCTATCCCATTTCATATTTACAATTTTTTCAAACAAAAAAAAAAATGAAAAAGTTTAAATTACTTGAGATGTGTCATGGTTGTGGACTGTACAGATATCTTTAACCACTAAATTTTGTCCATCCTTGCTCACTGCAACTTTTATGTAAGAGCCACAGTCTCCTCTTGGTGAGCGTGTACTAGATGCAATAAAAACATTCATATTTACTTAATGACGTTATACCTACAGTGTTGAGAAAGTATGTTACAGTAAAATCGCGTGGCCCAAGCAATAGAGTAAGACTGCTAACATGAAAGTCTCAAGTTTGAATCAGGGTCCAAGTCCACCCAGCTCAGTACCTAACTCATGTTATTGAAAGTAAAGGCAGCTGGGCAAAGTGTTGACAACACCTTCCATTCATATGCCGAGTTCAAGAAACATGAACTCTACTTCATCTGCATCATCAATCGCTAAAGAGGATTCTTTTTCTAATATGTTATAAAACTAAATACTTATAGGCTACAGTAAGACTACTTTATATTAAATTTTAAAATACTGTAGTACTTTATTTGCCTCTCTGGTTTACGGGGATTTTAAACTATTTTGAAAAACACATTCATACATATTTTTTTTTCATACTTCATAAAAATAAAATACCTCTTCACAATCTAAAGAAATAAAATGAACAAACCTTTCATCATAACTACGACCACCCTTAACACATGCCCATGTTAAATTGTAGTACACCAGCGACTCTTTCATTGGACGTTTTATCCCTTTTTTCTGCGCCGCTTCTATAGTACGACAATCTCTAATCCAATAATTGGACTTTTGAGATTTTTCAAATAGTTCCACAGCCCATTTTAAACTTCCAAAATCATCAAAAACATCACCTACACTCAGTTCTAAGTCTGCTGCCATTTAGGAACCATGTAGACCTGTGAATTTGAACTTGTATTAAAAAGTAATAAATAAGTTAAACCAACTGATCTATTATTCAGTAGAACTTAGATGCTTACTTCTATCAATACCAATTTTTTGCTTTTGCCTTAAGAGCACAACATATAAAAAAGGATGTGGGTTAATTTCCCTATATATAGGCCTATATATATATATATATATATATAGGCCTATATATATATATATATATATATATATATATATATATATATATATAATCAAATATATATATATATGTATATAAAATTTAGATCAGACAACATGAGACCTACATAGCACATAATAAATACTAGATCTAGTTTAACTTAATTCTAACTTCAAGGTGTACATTTCTTCTAAATTCTGACTAATTTTTTAAAATCTAGTTTTTAGATCTACCTAGTACCTGGCATTGTCAATAGCCTTTTTTGCATGGTTAGCAGAAAAATTTCACAGTTTTTGCTACGAAAAAATCACAAAGAAAACATTTATTATTTTTAAAAAGTCACAGAAAGAAAATCAAAAAATATACAAAGAAATATTTTTATTTACTTGTTGAGAACTTGAAAATTTTGGTGTTTATAAAAACGGGAGGAGTTTTTTTTATGAACTGTAAAGCATTAGGCCCCTATGGTTTATAATTGAATATGACTTTTATTTTCTTAAACTTTTCAATAAGTAGGTGCTGCTAAACATGTTCTGATAAAATTAACTTATGGCGAAGTTATTTTCTAGAGTGTACAGTATACAGATTGCAATTTTACCCAATTTTATTAAATGTTGTATATAATTATAACGGAATTAAAACCCTTCATATTTCAGACTAAATATATACATGTTTTAAAGATTACCATAGGAATACAATCTACTCACATATATTTAAAAATTTTACATTGCATTTAATAATCGTATGTTGATTTGCAGATTCTGAAAGATAAATTTTTTAAAATTTTAACAAATTCAATGCAAATACATACACATTTGTGACTTTTTTCTGTGACTTTTTTCCTACAAACAATCATTTGAGTAGCTTCTTATTTTGTACTAGCTCTACTATCACTGCTAAATTACTTATTTTTAACTCCATTAGACTTCTAGGCTTGATTAGAGTAATAAAAGATCTTAGTACTTAAGTACTAGTTCGGCTAGTTAGAGTGGTAGTAGACGCAGCTCTTGTAACACTAGATCTATATCTACTACTACTTCTAGTGGACATAGATCTTGCTAGACTCTGTGAGGTGATGTGATTTGTATGGAAAGGTGTGTACTTGCGACGGATCACAAGGTGTGTGTACACCGTAGTATTGTAGTGTGAAGCCGTATTTGTTGATGTGTTTGTTGTTGTATGGAATGAACAAGGGTAACAAACAAGGGAAGGGACTGGTAGAGTGACAGCGTGAGTGTTATGCACCAGAAGAAGGAGGTGTGTACATCTAGTGATGAAGGTGGATGGCAAGTGAAGGTTACCCTTGATAGTGAGAGGTCATGATTGGTTGTGAGGACACAAAAATACATTAAACAGATTTGTTGTCCCCTAACCTCTAGTAGAATATATTTAATTAGAGACTGTAGGACTAGAGGGTCTAATTAATTGATTAGGTAATCTATCATTTTAGGTACGTAAAATTGTCTGAGACTAGTAATGTGAAAAAAACTGTGGCTAATTAAATTTTAGACATTATTTCACAATTTTAGGAGGATTTATGTTTTGAAAGTTACAAAAATGTACCTGTTTTTTTAATAAAATATAGATCTACCACAATATACTAATGTCACGAATGAATATAGATCTAGATCTAGATATCTAGATCTAGATTCTAGATTCTATATCTAGATCTACAGAGTGAGAGAGATCGACTAAAATTTAAAATATTCTTTTCCAGTTTAAAATAAATAAAAAATTGTTGGCCATCATTTCATTGTGTGTGTTGTGAGTAGTCTTTTACTCTGTTCTCTGTAGATCAGACTAGATTAGAATTGACTAGATTCTAGTTCTAGAACTAGTGTAGATCTAGATTAGATTTAGATCTAGTTCTAGTTCTAGTCTCTGATTCTGCAGTATTCAACTGTTTTTTTATGCTGTAGAAGTCAGTGTTGAGTACTGTTGAGTGTCTTATTCTTATCTACTTCTACTCTAGCCCCTGTCCTGAGTGGAGTTGTTAATGACTGAATTAGTTAGAGCTTACTCAGACTCTGAGACTGGCAGTTGATAGCTGGTTAAGTCAGTGTTAACTACTCACGGAGTAGTCACTTGCTTAGTACTCACTGAGTCATCAGAAGAATATAATAAATGAATAAATGGTAATCTAATCTATCGTTTTAGGTGTACAAAATCGGCTGAGGCTAGTATTGAGCGAAAAAGTTGCAGACGCAGTCTTGTTTTTGTTGAATAAATTCTAAATAATAGATCTAGATATCTAGAATCTAGATCTAGATCTAAAATATAAATATTGATGTAGGCCACAATGAATGAAAGCGAACAAACTTTTGTATAACAACGAAACCTTAAAAATATGGATTTTTATTTAACGAATTTATTTCAGCAAAGATTTAAATTTAACCTAATCTCGTCTAGATCTAGATCTAGGTTCTAGATCTATGTAGATTATATATATTATATAGATCTAGATCTAGATCAATATCTAGAATCTAGATTAGATATTAGATATTGAACTAGACTCTAGAACTTGCTCATCTTAACAGAATTATTGTTACTAATGTCAGAGGCGTAGCTAGGGGGGGGGGGGCGGCCGCCCCGGGCGCCGACCCTATGGGGGCGCCAAAAGGGGTGGAAAAAAAATTTCAAACCTAGTTTTATGCTGCAGTTTTGAATTATAAACAGTTTAAGTTAAGCAATGTAATGGCTAAGAGCCTTTACATACTGATTTAACTGTTTTCTACCTTGATTATTAACTGTAAAACATATAATCTTAAGAAGCAGTGAGCGGCAAAACCGCTTTCCCAGCTTTTCCTAGATTGTGTGTTGGCGGGGGGGGGGGCGCTTTTTTCGAGACTAAAATCGGAAGAATTTACACTAGATTGGTGATCAATCAGCGTTACCACTTATCAAAACAATCAATTGTATTAAAATGTATTGTACGATTGTTTAACCGCAAAATACGTTAGTGACTTATCGAGATGTTTGCGGGGGGGGGGGGGGGCGGCTTTTAGG